GGTCAGCGGGCCCGGCCGTGTCCACGCTCAACTTCTTGTGCACCCCTAGCCCGCTCGCTGGTGGGGTGGGGTGAGAGAGGCAGAAGAGGCCTTGACTCTGTGTAAGCTCTGCTCAGCAATAATGAAAATGTCCCTGTGTTATCTACAGTGTTTGCAGCACAAATCCAAACCATAGCCCCATACTAGCTACTGTGAAGAAAATTAACTCTACCCCAGCCAAAACCAGCACATGCTGGTTTAAGAAGTCATATTTAAATGACATGGTTTCCTATTGAAGGTGGTTCTAAAGATTAGTAAATTTCAGAGGAAGTTTAAAAAATGTTTTTCCAGTTCATTGTGCACGTTACCGTACTTGATGCTTCTCATGTTTCTTCTGTCAGCCGTTTCCCCCTCTTTTCAAATGTCATCAAAGAGAAACATTTTAATGGGACTATGTAAAGTAACCCTTACAGTTGTCCACAAGCAGAGGAATATTTATGACCTGAGTAGTACATAAAGGTGCCACAAAAGGAAAATGGACTTCTGCTGTGCTTTACCCTTTTTTCATCTAAAGGAGACCCAAACTGTTGCTTTATAGCTTTTGTTTTGAATGATGGATTTTGGCATTCAAATACTTCCAGACTATTTTGTCAGCCTATCAAACAATTTGGAGAAAGAGTTGAGCCTTCACCAATGTGTCCTCTGAAATCTGTGCAACTTCAGGAAAAACGAGGAGAAATAATTTGGCTGTCAAAGAAGACATACCCATTTTTAGTCAGAAATTGATGATGCATGCATCAAGAAGCAAAAATGAAGCATGTGTTGTTTAATTATATCTGTATATTTTGTTAAGTTTTAGCTTGCTTCAGTTTTCTACCAGCTTAATTACATTTTGGCAAGGCTTCTCTAAGTAGAAAAATTCATGGCGGATGTTGTTGACCTAGGTATGCTCTCTCTGTAGCAGTCTCCTACTGGCAAGCTAGCCTGGCTTGAAGATCACTAGCACCTCTCACGCTCTCATACTCAGAAGGGAAAGCATACTCACATGGAAAATACTTGGTCAGACAAGCGAACTGACAAACGGCTTGCTTTTGCAAAGCTGGCCCCTTTTATTCCCCCTCCTCGCTGTTATTCTGTGCCTGTTCTTTCCCATCCTCCTTGCCCTTTCGCAGCCGTGTTTTCCTCCCAAATAAACAACCCACCCATAATTACTTCTTGTTCATTGGTCTCACTTTGGTAAATTTTGTATCCTCGACACCCTTATCTAGGTAAGCTTGGCCTTCAGTGGTAGCACCAATAGGGTTACCTAGGTGGGCACTCTGCTGGCCTGGCAAATTCTATTCCACAAAAAGTTCCCAGTGCTGACGTCTGATTGTCCGTGAAGTTTGGCCATCCTTCACATAATTCCCCCTTAACCATCTGTGAAGTCTAGCCATTCCACACAGTGTTACCTCACTTGTATCTGTTCTCACAGACAAAATTTTTATGTTTATATTTTTATGTCCAGCAACTTCTCCTGCCATGTGCAGTAGTTTCCCCTGGGGACTGCCATCCGCCTGCATACCTTAACAGATGTGATAGTTAGGCATTAAGATCTTTGCTGTCTTTTGAAGAACAGTTTCCAAGGCTGACAACACGTATTTTCTAGAAAACAATGAACTGTTTTGGCAACTTTTTGCTTAGCGCTTAGTATATTGCTTTACTGTTTTGCAGGCTCACATTTTCCTGTGGGAGTTGTACCACCCAGAACCAAATCACCAACGCCAGAGTCTTCAACAATAGCATCCTATGTCACTTTGAGGAAGAATAAGAAGATAGATCTAAGAACGGTACTTGAAAATAACCTTTGAGCATCGATGGATAGTGATGTGTTCATTTCTAAGTTCAATTTCTGTAGTTACTTCAAAAGTTGTAGTTATCTTTTTAATTTTTTACAAAAAAAAAATCACTATTATAAAAATATACTAAGTTAATGGAGACACCTGTGAAAAGAATGGCAAAATTATAAAGGTCTTGTATGTTAAACAGCATAGAGACACTCAAACTGGGCAAGAACTAAATGGTAATGATAAATCTATTAAGCTGCTGAAGTTCAGGCTTGAGTTGAAAGGACGTGAATCAAGTTAAAACTTTGCAGGAGTTGTATTTGGCTTCTGAGGCAATTTAACAGCCCTTGTGTAACAAATACTGGGGTTTATTTATTTCATTACTAAAATGATTTGGGAAAGACCTACAGCAGCCATAAAATAAGGATACACTAAGCAATAGGTGGATAATAAGCCTGGAATTTCAGATTAGAGTCCTGTAGTCTCTGGGTTAGAGACAGATGTTTACATGTGGTTCATGCAAAAGGCACGAAAACTTTTGCCACAGTTACAGCATGAATAGAAGAGGAGAAGTTGTAGGAAGAATGGGAGAGGAGAGAGAAACTCACAGGATGCTGACTGGAGAAAGATTATCATTCCTCAGAAGTGAAATCAGTTACTATGAATGTACTGAATGCAGCTGATTAGCCTGAACTAAATTTTTTTTTCTGTCATACAAAGTACAGATCTGTCTGAAAATCAGTGAATTTCAAGAACAGAGAGTAGGTAAAGTGATCGTTGCTATTCTGGGAATAATATAATCCTTAGAATTACAGATTTTAAGGTGGTGATAAATTCACTTTGTTTCAGCCTGCACTTGCCGTTAATGATGGCCAGCTGTAGTTTTTCTTGAAATAAAAAGGCAGAAATCACTGTTAGACCAATGGGGATAGGTGTCCTGGATCATTAAATTTTGATTATGTTTCTGTCTCAGTCAAGTAACTTCAGTTTGCCTGTTGTTTAACATCTGATAAATTGTTTCAACTCCATAGGATGGCTTTAAGGGAGCATCTACGTATTCTCTCAACGTTTTATCATTGATGGTGGTAATGTCGCTGTTCAAAAAAGCAAATTATTCTTTCCTTTTAATTTGAATTTCGGTGTTCGGTTATTATGGATTGGTTCTTGTACTTACTTCACATACATAGGAGATCTTTACTTGCCCACTATTTTTCTGCTTTTTAGTAAATTATTAGGTGATCTTTTCTGATAAGCGGAACAGTTTAGAATCTTGCTTTTTAAAAATATAAATATATGTGTATCTATATCTATTCTTCCATTTAAGGAAAGGCCAAGAAGTGCAGTAGAGCAGCTGTGTCTCGCAGAAAGCACACGGCCTCGAATGACTGTGGAGGAACAGATGGAAAGAATAAAGAGACACCAACAAGCTTGCCTGAGAGAGAAGAGAAAAGGACTCAATATTATTGGCATTTCAGACCAGTCTCCTTCACAGAGTCTGTCGTTTGTCAGAGATAATCCATTCAAATTGGTACAGGTGGGTCCCACATTATTAAAAAACTTTAACAAGTCCAATTAAAAAAAAAAGTTACAAAATCATTCTTTTTCCAAAATCCCATGATACTATAGGTGTTTCTTTGAGACTGCTTGCATAGAGTAACAGTCGCCATTCTCTGCCATATACAAGAGAGAGGGAGAAGACAATCTTCATGCTTATACCTACTGATAATAGAAGACACTTCTTTGTCTTTTTGGAAAACAAATATTTTAAATCTACATACGTTTGATTATGCATTGTGATGTTTGTTAACAGGTTTTGTTTTGTCAAATTCAGCAAACAACTTAAAATTGCAAGGTTTGTGACAAAAAGCAGTGTCAGGGAGAATCATGATGCAGTTAATGTATAAATTATGAAGATTTTTGTGCCATGTAGTACATTCGAACATCTGTAACATTTTTAGGTAGGAATGTGTATTTATGATCATAGCTCATAACTGATGCTCTTTTGCTGTGATTTTTGAGCCCATAAATATAGAACTCTCACTTTCATTTTCACTCATTCTTAAACAGCGAAAGCAAAGAACTGAGTTTATTAAACGGTTAAGGGTGGGGAGAGAGGAGGAAGATACAACTGCTTGTCATTAACCAGGAAATACTGTCCTGAATATACATTAAAAAAAAAAAAAAAAGACAAACCCACTGCTAAACAAAAAAATCCACACCACTTCAGGACAAAAATATCAACTAGATTCAGGGTGGTGGATGTTAGACAGCCTACTACCTTAAGAATTAGTTTTCTTTTTCAATAGCCTAATGGAGTTATCTATCTCTTTTTTTTTTTTTTTTTTTTTTTTTAATTTCAATAACCTAATGGAGTTATCTATCTTTTTTTTTTTTTTTTTTTTTTTTTAACTTCTGGCGTAATTTTTCTTTAGACCACATTGGTTTTGATTTTTTTTTTTTTTTTACACTGACATGGAAATGCCTTCTGTTACATTTTGTATGCATTTTAACATTTGATTTTCCAAAAACTGGATTAAATGCATTTGCACTGTTAGGAACTCACATATTTCCAAATAAGTTTTAGGTTTGTTGTGGATTTTTTTTTCCCCCCATCTGAGCATGCTAAACTGCCGTCAGAGCTATACAAAAGTTACTTTTCCTTCAGCAATGTTAGATCCTCAGAAGGCACCGAATTCAAGTTTTGCCTTTGCATTAGAGCATCTGTATTTGGGATGACATCATGAATGCTGTGTATGAATGGGGCTTCTACAAATATTTTTGTAGTTAACACTGCCTTTCTCAAGAAGAGGACGTGAAAAGCAAAGCTTTGCAGATGTTTCTTTTTGTAGTTTTTAGAGAGGTGTTTGAGCTTTACCACTTACCTATGGCATCATTTTATACCTCAAGGTGAGGAAACTGCAGTCGCGTATGTGTCATACCTGGTTAGCCAGCACACTGGGAGCAGAGCAGGGGAAGTGGCCAAACCCTCTGTGCCAGCACTACCTGCTATACAGAACTCAAAGGAATTTTTTTCACGTCAGCATGTTCTTCAGTCTTCTGTGTGAAGCCAGTGCTACGTGGATGAGATAAGAAACTTACAGAATAAGTGAGAATGTGTCTGGATTGAATATTTAGCTCGTAGTCCGTGCTACAAAAATCACTTTTTCTATCACAACTTTAATTCTTCCGGAATGCTATTTGGCAAAAAGCCCCAAGATGAGGTATTACACTGTAGTAATAGCTCTTATTTTTAAAAGCATAGTTTCTATGCCTATTTATGCAGAAAAATGGTGCAATGGCATTAACTGCTGGAAGTCTTTTCAGCTGAGGTTTGATTATTTAAGAATTGGAGGAAAAAAAGGATTTTATAAACAGCCTACTGTGTAATTTTGAAATGATTGCTAAAATACAAAAGGAAGTTGCTTCACAATTGTTATTGTTTGGGACAAGTGTATGATATGGGTGCATACTTCAGCTAGGAAAGTAAAGAGCCTGATTTGTGAACTGACTTACGTGGAATTTCCTCTTAACAGAGTGCATGTGCTAAATCACGGGGTCTCAGCCACAAGATTTACTACTTTCATGGCTCCTGTTTTTCTCAGCCCTAGAGCTTAGTTTGATAAGACTTACATGAACCTCACTTCAGTTCCATTTGCTACTCTGCCAACATAATGTTCACAGTTCACAATCTTAAGTCAGCATCCTTCCTCAAAAGTTTTATATCAAATTATTCTCTCTGCAGTGAATTTTTTTTTTTTAAGGAATAAGTAATATCCTCTGACATAATCAGATGCTATGTTGTCCTCTGTTAAATCAGTTACCAGCATAGGCTTGGAAGATACCCAAGATAATTGGAGAAAGTGCATACAGGTGCACTGTGAATTTTGTAAGGAGAGGAGATTTTTATCCATCTTTTTTTTTTTTTTTAATCAGGAAAAGGATATTTTTTTAAAAAAATCAGTGCTTATGAATGCAAGTAAGAATGCTTCTAAGCTTGTGTGTGACAGAGCTAAATATGAATGGAATTTCAGAAGATAAAGGTGACTTATAGAAATGCTGGAGATTGGGGGAGGGGAGGAAAGGGTGCAGAAAGTATAATAATCTTCCAGAGGAAAAAATTATTGGACAAGCTGAACTGTTTTGAAAGGTACAAAGATGAGAAAATTCTAAGTCCTTAAGAATTTCCATTTTCCTTATTGCAATGTGGTATTCTTAATATTTTTTAAGTTTGGGGGGTTTTTTTCTATCATGGTCGGAGGCTAGCGCAAGACTCAGAACTGAGACTATAGTAACTTTTTTAAGAATACATCTATGTATCAATTTTGTTCTACAGAATCGAAAAAAGGATGATACTGTATCTGGTAATATGAAGGAATTAGAGAGCACCAGTAAAGAAAATAATTTGAAACAAAATAATGAAAGTCCTGGAGAAGAAATAGCGCAACTAAAGCATGATGGAGAACAAGAACATAATTCAGGTTTTACTAAAGAGGTACTGAACTATACTTTATTGAACTGTTCATCAACCTGTCTTGCAGAAGAAAAATATTTTGAGCCACAGACGGCAGTGTGGGAAATTGAGCTAGTTCCTTTTCCTTGGAAGATTAAGATATCTTCTTGGATATAACAAATATTCTATAAAGAAGTGCAAAACTGCATCAGATCTGTCTATAGCTGAGAAATTGAATTTTCTTGTATACAGTCTTTTTAAATTCCTTTTTACTTAACTTTATCTGTTACTATCTTGATTGACTGGAAACTTATCTTTAAATAATAATCATTGATCTGTTCACTGCTTAGGATATCCCAGTGTAGTTTTTGACAATCATTTAATACACCTGAATTTTTTGTTCACTTGGTTCTAGTGCATCAAATAAGCTATAGGAAGCAGAATAAAGCTGGCACAACAATTTATACGTGGAAGTAGGCAGTAACTGTAGTTTGTGCTATTTGGTCACTGGATTGATTTCTGTCTTGAAATATTCCCGCTTGGCAGTGAGTTACCTTGGTGCTTCTGGTGCTACAGTGCCCTGAACACGCAGCAAAAGCGACTGACTGTGAAGAATAGCTTACTGGAGTCATTTCTACATAATCATATACTGCTTATAGTTTAATATTTTTTTCCTCTCTCATTTTTGCTTTTGTTTTCCTATTTTATATTTAGCTTTTTTAAACGCGTGTCTGATGGAGAATGGTATAAAATCCAAATAACGAAGTCTGTTGCTCTGTTAAGTATGCAAATCTTTTACAGAAAAACTATGTAAAACACTTAAATTGGTTGTATCTAATCAGACCCTTAAGAGCAGTGTTCAGGCTCCTCAGCAATATATTCCAGTAGCTGGAATCTCTGTTGGCATTGTGAAGGGAGGGATAGCATGAAAGAATAGGCAGGCTGCAATCCAAAGAGTTCAGATAAGCTCTGGAAGTTATTAAGCCAAGCCCTGCCCCTTGGCTCTGGTATAAGTTTCAGGATAACTCTATTAACCTGAATGGTATTGATAACAATTTCTTAAGTTATGTAATTCTGAGTTACTAAGTATACATGATAGCAAAATTTGTCTGTTAATAAAACTGTTTCCTGAAACTGTATTTCTTATCTACCACTTAGTATGTGTTACAGCTTTCTGTTTCATGATTTCAATTTTTTTATAGCTGACAAAAACTGATGATCTTTTATCAGATGCACATGTTGTATCTGACTCAAAAGAAGTGAGTAATGAAGAGAAAGCAGAAAAGGAAAAGAAAAATAAATTGGGAGAAACACATGATGATGATATAAGGTAAAAATAAAACAAGATGTTCAGAGGCTATTTTAAACTTGCACATTGTAGTTATTAGCTGAGCGGACCAAGCAACTAATGAAATACTGTCGTAAATACTTATACAGTATATTTTTATGGTTTTGAGTGGTTTGCAGATAGAGAAATCTAGCGAGAAACCTAACTGCTCTGGGGGTTCAGTAAGAGGTGATGAGTTGCTGGGAGGAGCAATGTTTATTTTCAAGTATTGTCTCAGTTATAAACAAAATATGTTCATAATCCTTGCTTTGGGATACAAAATGTATTTAGTAATGTCAGTTCAAGCTTTGTATCAGTTTATTATGAAAGCTTCAGCCAGGGCTTCCAGAGCAAGCTCTTTACCACTGATATTTAGGAAAATATCACATGCAGGAGCAGACTAAACAGCTTATTCTATAACTCCTGTTAACTTTTTTTTTCACTGTTTTGGAGTAATTAGAGGAATATTGTGTCTTGGATATTCCTCTTTAAGGATTCATAACTTCATTGTAATTTGCACTGCAGATCCTAAACGAGTTCTTAGATTAGGTCATAACTTAGACCACTCTTCAGCAAAACAGATACCATGCAGAAGGAAACTGCATGAATATGAAAAGGAAAGGAATTCAGCTTCCAGTGCTGCTTTTTTTTTAACTTTACAAGGTAGCAGCGTTTCAAAATACGTGCTTAATTTATAGTATGCAAACTTGCAAGTTGCAACTTTTTCTATTAACAGAAGAAAATTAAATTGTAACTCGTATACTTAGTGGTTAGCACCTGAAATTAAGTTAGAGTGAGTTCTAAACACTGTGCTTTTTTTAACCAGCTTGCAGAGTGTGACCACAGTTACAAACCACAAACCCAAAACCAGCTCAGAAGAAAGTGAAGTAGGTAGTGTTCAAGAACAAGGAGGGATTATTTCTTCATTTGAATTAGCAGCACAGTCTTCAAAAGGAAACCAGACATCAGCAGGTATGGAAAAGAGTTTGACTGAAGCACAGCTTATACAGTACGTATGTAAAACTATTTCATTTTGATCTTGTCTTTTGATGCTCTGAAACCCTTGTGAATTGGAAGTGCTGAGCTAGTCTAGATGTAAGGTGTATGGTTTTATAATGTAGAGAAAAATAGTTTCCCAGTGGACAACTACAGAAATTCCATTTTTCTGAGATTTTAATGTAGATCTGATGCTTGCATTTAATTCAGGGAATTGAAGAACTATTGCCAGAAATTGAGTCATACTATAGTTGCTGCTTGGAGCAAATCCTTCCCTATTCATCTTGTAGAACAGCATCCCAGTCCTGGATATGTGTAGATGATTTACCCTTACCTCCTTGCTAATGGGTGGTCTTAGGTATGCCCAAGATTGAGGAATCCTTGAGAGTTTCCAATATATCAAGTAGATTCTGAACTGGCAAGTAAAAGATGCCAGTTTGGTCATGTTTTCAGGAGTAAGAGAAGATGAAGAAACAGAAAACGCTAGCTGACTGGTGAAACGACTGGCGGTATACTAATTTGCAAGAAGAGAAGGCTGGAGTAAAGCCAAATTGTTTGCAAAGAGAAAAAAGGAGGGGGGACTGTGTAGGGGAAGAGGAAGGAAGGAAGATAGAATTTAAGACGTTATTAGGATATTTGGTGATGGGAATGGTTAAGTGAGCCAAATCGTTCAATTTAGGATATAAAAGATGACCTGATCCTTTGTAGTACAGTCAGCAATCCTTTCTGTGACTTGATAATCAAAACCAGAACTTGTAAATATATTTTATAGTGCTCAGCAGAATAAAACACGCTTAGTTAATCTGAGCTGGGGTATAAAGGTGGGTCTGGGAGTATGCCGAGTAATTCAATTTTACTTTTTTTTTTTCCCCTCTCTCTCTGCAACATAAATAACACATCAGCATTCATGTGTCTGTTGTTTGTTCCTTAGGTGTTCTAGTAGTCATTTATAGGCCTGAGTAATGATCTTCCTTGAGAACAGCTATACTGTCCCTTGAACTTGTACTCATTGTGCTGATCAGATTTTAAGTCTTTACTTATGTAACTTTCATTTGTTTCTGCTTATATTTATTATGGCTTGAAATGGTGATTTTCAAGCTTATATTTATTGTGGCTTGAAATCGTGCCCTCTGTAACTTGTGTTCCTATTTTTCTTGCTGTATGACTCGCAGTGAAAAGTTTGCCTTCTTCACCAGAATCGTCATTGTCACCAGCTCCATCTACACAGACACAGCTCACGGAAGGATCCCATTTCATGTGTGTATAGTTACAGAGAAGTACGTCTTTTTTTCCCACCCCTCCTGCCATTTTCCTAATATTTTTCTAAGTATATGTATTCTAGTTATTTTTCTGAGAAACCTCTGTAGACAATACTTGGCAAGACAAAGTTATCTGCAGTGTTGAATGTAAACTAAGCAGAAAACAAAACAAATACATGTATTGATTTGCTTGTCAGTAATGTTATTCTCTATCCAAATACAAAGAGAAAGGACTAATTGGCTTATCAAGCACGTTCTCCACAACTGGCAAGATAATAGCCCTTCGAATTACATGAGAGGCCTAAGCTGTTGCAAAACAGACACCCAGTGAAGGTATGAGCATCGGTGCTCAGGTGCAGATGAATCTGGATGCTTCGGTTGTGCTAACAGGCAACTAGAGCCAGATCTCTTGGTGATGCGTAGGAGTGAATGGTCCAGTGACCCAAAGAGTTTATGGCTTAAGACATAGACAACAGAGGCATGACAAACAGGAAGGGGAAAAAAAGAGGGTGGAAGAAATGTAACAATTACAAACCTTTTTTTTTTTCTTTCTATAGAAAGAGCCCCACATAGCTTCTCTCCGCTTGTCGTAGTAGGTGATTTCTTTTAGGAATCAAGTTAGAAAGCATGAGTTAGGCTAGATTTACATGTTGCTACCCATAGTGTTACCTACTTAATGAATGGAAATCTCAGTAAGCATATTTGTTTATACAAGTGTTTAAAGAAATTATCAGGATACAAATGTGAATGCTTCAGTGCTTTACCAGCATTTAAATCAATCCACATTTCTTTGTCTGGAAGTACCTGTTTAAATAAACTTTCTACTAAAAGAATGAACTTTATTTCAATAGTAATGGTAAATGCCATAGCTAATGTAACTTAAGAAAACTTTAAAATCAAGAAAACTTTAAAATCGAGATGTTCTCAGTCATTTAGCATGAGGAGATCTGGAAATGCTTTTTTGTCTGTGTGTGTTTGTTTACTGTCCCAATCTGTTTGCCAAGCTTTCATCTTAGCAAAATTAAACTTGGACACCTTTCTTGTATGATCTATGGGCAAGAAACTATTTCTATTCATAAAAAAAAAAAAAAAAAAAATTATTTTCATCTTTTTCCACTCTCTCAAAAGGAGAGAATGTGCTCTTTGCATCAGTACTGACACCTGTGTTGCTGGCTTCCTGATGGATGTGGTCTGTCATGATTAGATTTAGCTTGGACTTTAGTACTTGTGTTGAAAATTTAAAAAAGATGAGTGGGACTGTTCATTTTTTCTGGAAATACGGGTTTGTATTAATGTTTTTCAGTTTCCCCGTATAAATACACATGCATTTATCGTGCATCTTCTTTTTAAATAGGACAAATATTAACCCCATCAATTCAGTTTCAGTACTGAAACTGAAACTGTGCTGCTGAATTCTGTCCGTAGCCACAGCCCGCCTCTCTTGAAGGGGGAAGCAACCTATAACTTCACCAGAATTTTTTTTTACCAATTGCATTAAGTTGCTTTCAGCTCTTGTCATCAGCTCCAATGATCAGATCGGCAGATCTTATTTTTTAAGTATTTATGCTAAATGTGAGATTAGCAAAAGGGAAGCGCTTATATCGTGATGTGCTTTGTAACTTAATGCCCAAGCCTTGACATCCCACAGCGTGGTGTATCGTCATAGGTAATACTGTAGCTGGAACATTTCCATGTTAAGTGTGATTCTACAAGTAGGCCTTAATTGCTTATGACAACACGGTGCACCTGGGATGGCACTTGTAAAACTAATGCTCTGCTTACACATGCCTCGCTATAATGAAGCAAGGATTCTAGAACTTAAATACACCCCTTTTGGCTGCTTAGTGCTTGAATTGAATTGGAAAAAACATTCAACCATGTGTATATACATTCCCTATTTCTTTGCTGCGCTTGATGCCCCTGTTGGTTGTTTCCTAGGAGCTCCAAAACAAATTCACGCCATGAGCTGGGCCTAGTACACGTAGATGTGTGAAGCGTAGTCTGCTTGCCTGCGGTATTTACTGGCCCTTACCTTCTGGGGCTGCCATTCCAGTATTCCGGTGTTTTGCGCTTTGTTGAAAGATAGGTCCTTTAACGTGCGAGAGCTCGGTGTCTCTCAGATGCAAGAAACCCCACGTGGCGGAGGGAACTTCAGAGCTGTGGGATCAGCCCTGTTTCATGCGCAACCGAATTTCTCAGGCAGCATCTGGAAAATGTATGGTAGATTTCAGAGAATAATGAGGTAATACCTGTATTTGGCTTTTACAGTCAATTAGTGAAATGATACTCTTGGCACGATGCCAGGGGAGTTTGGCATAGGAGATTGGTGGCACAGGGTATTGTAAGACTAAGGAAAAACCCATTAACACAAAGCTACTTTCTTTATCACGGCTCTTGCTTTGCAGAGACAAATCTGGATGTGTACCACTAACACTGTTACGTTTTAAGCATTGCATTTACACTGAGTAACGGAGGGATAATGAAATTTTATACAGCACCTGGACCCAAAGCTCAGAAATATTTTTACTAACGAACTGTTAAAAGCTCTTTATAAAAGTCCTTTCAGCAATTACCAAAATATAGCAAGCTCTGGGTGGAGCACTTGAACTTCAGAACACCTTACAGCTACGCTGCCATTACGGTGTAGCAACTGAATAATACTGCATCCCTCTTCAAACCGTGCCTGTCATTTGTAAGAGCAATTAGGGTCTTTGCTTTTATTACCGGTTTTATGTGAAGAGCATTTGAAGATGGCCATGTACGACAGGATGAAACTCTCAGAATAAACAGGCTTTCATACGAAGTTTGCGGATGACACCAAGCTGAGTGGTGAGGTTGACACACCAGAAGGAAGGGATGTCATCCAAAGAGACCTGGACAGGCTGGA